TGCTACTCCAAATACAATTTTAGTCTGATTATAATATAAATGTGGCATGCAAGTAGACTGCACTAAGAACATAAAGAGACTTAATCAAGGATCATTATTCTATTTATTGCTGTTGAAAAGTTTCAATTTCCAACTGTTTAAGTACTTTTCTCTTCCTTTGCTATAAGTACAAACCAGTAGAGCTTCAGTCTCGACAGAGACTTCTGGTTTAGACCTTCCCACCAGTGTTTTGTAGGTATGAAATTTTTAAGCCAGGTATTTTATTTCGTTTACACAAAACTCCCGCTCGATGGAGTAATTGTTTCCTTGATATACCAAAACCCTTCTCGGCACTTTCAATTACATTTTTGATAATTCTTTTCTCGATTTCGTTTGAAAGCACCGGCTTTCTCCCAGGCTTCGCGTCAATGGAGACTCGTTTGGTCACCCTATCATACAATGTTGATTTTTGCACTTGAAACTTCTCTGCTGCTTTCCTAAGAGACAGAGTCCCAGACTGAACAGCTTTAACAGCCTGTTCCATAATTGATGGATCTTTTTTTTTTTGTAAGGCCCCCTTGCTTTCGCCTTTTTTCTGGCCATGCTGAACGAAAAAAAACTTTTTTTTTATAGAATTAAAATAATTAATAACCTTATTGGTATTTGAAATAAATATTGACCGGCAATGTGTTGAAAATAGTATGCATATACATGTAACATAATAATTTTATATCGAAAAAGATGATTGCAAATCGATAATATTTTTTAAAAAACTATTTATCAACTTATTTTTTCAGAATATGGGTATATGAAGTTCATTTTTCATTATTTTTTTTTTTTTTACATTTCTTCAAACTGTCCGAAATTAAATGACTTTGAAAAAAAAATGGTCCGTTAATTTCGGACACTATAAAAAAAACAATATTGTTTAAAAATCGGCATGATTTTTTTTGCACTTAAAGGTGTATTTAATAGCGTTAAAATCACATTTGATAATTAAAACGTTTAAAAATCAGTGTATCAAGTCAAAAAAATATAACTTAACTAAATCAAAACTTTGGAATGAAGTCCTTGAAAATTTCGCGGTCGACAACTCTTGTGACCATCCGGGAAGACAAGTTTTGTTTCTTGCAGGTTTTATATTATAACAAAAACACATCCAGATAAAATTTATTAAGTCGTACATCTCTATTTCGAATTAATTGAAAGTAAGAAAGAGAAAGTGTGTAATATTTGTTGAAGGTAAGGACTGCTTTTACGAGCCCTGTCCGGAATTACCGGCCGTCCGAAAATATCGGCTTTTACCCTACAATACAACAGTGTTTTTTCACCAATCTTAACGTATAGCCATGTTGTTTAAGGGTGTTTTTTATGCCCCCCCCCCCTCCGGTGAGGGCGCTGCGAAAATCGAAAGATTTTCCATTCGAACTAAAAATTTTAATACGACTTGAAAAGTCCAGAGATGCTCCGAAAGAGTCAGCGATCCCTCTCTTATGTGTTTATGGTTTAAGCGATTGTCAATGGCCGGTGGGCAGTGGATGCTTCCTCCTCCATGGTACCTGATTCCACCTCTGATATTTCGGATGTCCCTGTTTGCTCTGCTTCTATTTTGTATAATACGAAATAGAAAAATACAAAATCCATAAAGCAATAATTGTTTAATGGATTTTTAATCTTGATTACTGTTCGTAATTATCTCCACACATTCCAGACGTCTGGTAGACGTCTGCATATGAGTGAAAAATTCTCGAGAGGGACGTTAAACAATATACAATCCATCTGGTATATTTAAATATTACAAGATACACTATACAGCTCAACGCATTCTATAATCTCACATGGGTTTTCGCAAATATTAAAGTCACATTTTTGTTGCAATAAAGCTTAAAATTATCGAGTTTCAGTACGAGAATAACTCTTATATTATTAAATACTTCATGTTAAAGGTGCATATTCTCTTAAATCATTTTCGTAAGTTCTAAAAGTCAATGTTTTAAAAGGGATCGTGGTTTTAATTTGCAAGTTGTTAAATGTGTATGATTCTATCATAGGTTTTTACAAATTAATTAATCGAACTTTCTTTGATACTATTTGGTTGAAATATTCAAATTTACTTATTACAGATGAGTATTTTTCAAGGTACTTTGCACATATTCCATACTTGTCTTGGATTTGTCGAAATGCAGCGCCAAAAAATGACAAAACTGCCTAAAGAAATCATGTGAAAGGATAGGATAATAAAGAGTTTTTATCTTTTAACATACTAAATTGTAAATAAAGAAAAGAAAATTCTTCTACATTTATGGTCTGAATCTTTGAAATTTTGATTTTGAAGGTATCTTTCATGAAGAAGTTAACCTGAAATTATGCCGTCTTTTTAACATGGAAAGCAGTCGAACAGATGAGAAATACTTCTATCATCTTGCACCTTAGTGTCATATTATATTGTACGGAAAAAACAGAAGTTACATGAACTGCACTGTTTCTGTATTAAGGCAAGGTAAAAGTATGCTTTAAACTGAACGTATACAAAGACGGTTGCATTTGACGAGAAACCATGAAAAAAAACATTTTGAAACTCTCATAATATATCATCCAAGAGCATATAAAAATCCTACCAATTATTACGTGTGAATTATGTTTAAAGTATTGGAATATGATCAAAATTAAGTTACATGTATAAATCATTTTAAAAATATATTTTGTTGTCACGTTACACAATTTTGCATTATAACAATGTGACCTTAATTTGTGCTAAAAACCATGCAAGTTTAAAAAGTGCGTTGAGCTGTTGAAAATGAAAAGGAAAAAAAACCCGAAAAGTTTTAAACTATACATCTATGGGCAGAAAAGTCTTGAAAATTATCAGCTACCTGGTTTATCTTGTTCATACATTTCATTGGTAATAATAAAATTTTAATCCTGTTTTGACACTGAAGTACGTGTACATCGCGAGGAGGGTACTCGTGTTTGTTGACGAGCTTTTGTTCCTTGCCTTTAAAATTTTGTTATGAAACGGCCAGTTTCCCGGAGGTAACCCGTTGAAATATGGCTGAAATATTGCTGACTTAAGGAAGGGGGTGGTAATTACATGTACATCATATCAGGTGCAAGTGAATTCAACATGGGTCACCTGATAAGAAAGCAAACACCACTAGGCTATTTTGTTGTTTTTGAATCTTTTATTATAATATACAGCATGAAATACACCACAATGCTTGAAAACTTAAACGTGTAACTATTTACTTTGATATCACATGGATTGAAAAAGCATATCGGTAAATATTAAGTCAACGAAAAAGATAAATTAGTGAGACATGTTCTACTTCAAAGACACTATATATACTGAAAGGAAAAAGAAACGCAGGGTAAACTTTTGAGGTGAATAAAATTTGTTTTTCTTAAAATATGTTTTAGTTTTTATATCTAACTTTTAAAATCATCTTTCAAAAAAGATGTAACCAAATTCCCACTTGATTTTGTGTAATAATTCATGAGTTACTGAATTTCAAATGACGATACCCCCCAAAAGTGAAAATCGAAAACTCTCATTATCTTCAATGTCTCTCCCGTGCATCTGTCAGAGCCTTATTTCTCCTTTGCATGGAATTTCATTAGAGTATTTATCTTTCAGACCCTGGCTATATTTGGCATGGGTAACCACGCAAAAAATAAGTCAAACGGCGCGCGCATGCGCCAGTGAGAGGAATAAAACACCAAATTGACTGGCTCAAAAAATCAAATTGCGGAAATGTTTTCTTTCAAATTTTGTATGAATTTAATGATTATAATTGTCTACTGTATAAATGTCTATTTTTGTGGTAGTAAGGTTTGGCAATTATATAGAGATGGTAGGACGAATAACCCGCTCGTAATATATCTCTGTTTTTTAACGTCATCGTCACGGTTGATTGAAAACCATTCCATTATAATTCCCTCTCTGACAACGGGTAACAAGTTTTATAGGGGAAAATTTTTTCTGGCTGACAAGAAACTGCTATAGTAAACCGTTGTTGCCTTTTTCATTAATTAGGCAATTCGAAAACAAGACCCCATTGAATTTCCGTTAACTGTGCCAAGATTGCAAGAAATTCATAATGACCCTTAATATTGAAAAACGATGTGCATACCTCATATGCATCAAATAATACAACAAGATTTGTTGACAAACTCGTCGCTATCAAATTGCACGTGTTTTTGGCTTTTTAACGTTTTCCCTACGTGACGTCATGAATTTTATGGGTTGAGTAATTCTGAATTCTGATTTTGGTACACAGTAACTCAATTTCTCTTCTGACCAATTTTCGTAATTTTGGGTCATGTGGTCAACATTTTTTCGAACATTATGCTACCCTGCGTTTCTTTTTCCTTTCAGTATACTAGTAAAGATCTTTATTTATTTCCTTGTCTGGACCAAGATAATATTTGTAGTGGCAAACTGTAAAAGTGTATTACCACAATTAGACTCATCAATGTAAGCAGGCATGATAGTTGCATGTTTATAGTTTGAATGCAATTACATAACAGTAAACTAATTTAAAAGTTTCCGGTACATGTAAATGTTTTACACGCTTCCTATTGGCCCGTAAATACTAAGTAGACAGGCAATACCTTTAGTTTGGTTGGTTTTACATAATCTAGACCGGAGGCAACGTTGGCAACAAAAAATAAACAAACTTCCAGTAGTAAAATAAAAAATTAAACTGATTTAAATACAATTGTAATTGTAAAACCAACATTCAGTTTTAGGAGGAAATAAACAGACTTCTTACGGAACACCCGGTTATCTACAGAAAAAATGACTGCAACTACAAAGCACAAAACACGCAAAATGACCCGTTTTAAGTTTTCCTAAACAAATGTTTAAATAGACTGAAGTTATTATGAATTGCGGAATGTGCTCGCATGAGATGCAATAAAGCGTGTATTTGCATATTTTTTTTTAATAATGACGGGGCTATAAATATCCTTTAAAAAGGTTTATTCGTTCATGTATCAAGGAACTAAGCTACAAGTGCATAACTATTCCTAGTAATATACATACAGTGTCAAACAACGATTGGAACTTGCGACTCAGGTAAGTCGAATCTTCAAATTACGGACATAAAATATTGATTAATTGAAACTGAAATCTATTGTGCAATCGACGTTAAATGCTTTAGAATTTTGGAAGTCGGCGATGGACAACTTTCAGGTTGATAAATTTTAACACAAGGTTTGGTTCTGACAACTTAAGTTAATTTGTCTGATTATAAGCTGCGAAGTTTGAATAAATAATATCGTTTATTCAATTTTCAAAATGGTATACAAGTACAGGCGTACTTACGTGTACCTATACAATCTATTATAATAACCTATTTACAAGAGGTCATAATGCAATCTGCGATGTATTCTGATCAGAGATCAATAACAACCTTTAAATGATTGTTTGAATCACCAATGCGTAATAGAATTTGAAAATTTTTAGCTCACCTGAGCCGAAGGCTCAAATGAGCTTTTCTGATCACATTTTGTCCGTCATCCGTCTGTAAACTTTTCACATTTTTGACTTCTTCTCAAGAAACACTGGACCAATTTTAACTAAGCTTTGTACAAAGGATCCTTGGGTAACACGAAGTTTAAATTGTTAAAATAAAAGGGCTAAATCCATTTAAAGGGGATGATAATCAAAAATAGGGTGGGGTCATTAAAAATCTTCTCAAGAACCACTGGGCCGGAAAAGCTTAAACTTATGTGGAAGCATCCTAGGGGATTGTAGCTTCTATATTATTCAAATCATGACCCCTGGGTGTAGGGCGGGGCCACAATAGGGAATCAAAGTTTTACATATAAATATATAGGAAAAAATTATTTGAAATCTTCTTCTCAAGAACCACTGGGCCAGAAAAGCTGAAACTTTTGTGGAAGCATCCTGGGGTAGTGTAGATTCTAAATTGTTAAAATCATGACCCCCGGGGGTAGGGGGCCTAAATAAAGAATCAAAGTTTGACATTGAAATATTAAGAAAAAATCTTCTCCTCAAGAACCACTGGGCCAGAAAAGCTGAAACTTATGTGGACGCATCCCGGGGTAGTGTGGATTCTAAATTGTTCAAATCATGACCCTCGGGGGTAAGGCGGAGCCACAATAGGAAATCAAAAGTTTTACAAAATAATATAAAGGAGAAAAACTTTAAAAATCCTCGTCTCAAGAACTACTGGGCCAGAAAAGCTGAAACTTATGTGGAAGTATCCTGGGGTAGTGTAGATTCTAAATTGTTCAAATCATGTCCACCTGGATTAGGGCGGGGCCATAATAGAGAATCAAATTTTTACATTGAAATATATAGGAAAAATCTTTTTCTCAAGAACCACTGGGCCAGAAAAGCTGAAACTTATGTGGAAGCATCCCGGGGTAGTGTAGATTCTAAATTGTTCAAATCATGACCCCCGGGGGTAAGGCGGGGCCACAATAGGAAATCAAATTTTGACATAGAAATATATAAGAAAAAAACTTTAAAAATCTTCTTCTCAAGAAGCACTGGGCCATAAAAGCTGAAACTTATGTGGAAGCATCCTTGTGTAGTGTAGATTTTAAATTGTCCAAATTATGACCCATGTGGTAGGGTGGGGTCACGATATATACTACAAAGGGGAAATTTGGTAATGAACAGTATGGTCAAAGCTACTCAGGTGAGCGATGTGGCCCATGGGCCTCTTTGTTTAAAAAAATTTTATTGAGATACATTCAAAACAATTACACGTCATACATGTATCAGTAATCACTAGTGCCGGCCCTCTGTTTTCAGTACTATGTAGATATCATGCTGATTTAGGATTGAATTTATTATTTTTCATGCAAAGCCCCTATCCCAACCCCACCTTCAACCCCCACCCTCGCATTGACACTAACAAAAAGTAAGTCTTCTTTTGTCACCTAGGATCTAACTACTCCGAATATTTCATTTTTAACAAGAGGCTCATGGGCCTTGTAGGTCACTTGATTATCAGGCAACAACTTACCAACAAGTGAATTTGATTCATGTTTTAAACCAGAGGTCATGAAATTTACAATTTTGAAAGAGGCACCATTGCTTATCATGATTATGCACTCAGCAAGCTTACTTTGGTTAGTAATTCCCAAATTTTTAAATATATATTCGAAATTTTGGAAATTTTATAAATTTTATTTCATCATGTTGTTGATTTTAAAATACCAAAGTGTAGATTTCAAAGCATTAAATTATTTTCAGACTATGTACCCCCCCCCCCTAAGTACCTCTGTCCCAGGGGCCAGGAAATGAAACATTTTTGGAAAAAGCAGCTTTCTTCGTCATAAATATATACTAAGATCATTGCCATAGTATCCAGGATCAAAGGAAAAATTTTTCAAAGAATTCATGCATTTTCACTATATAAACATTAGAGCCCCGCCCTAACACAAGAAGCCCTGACCCAGGGGCCCTGAAATTCACAAATCTCAAAGAGGCATCCTTCTTCCTCATAACTATGTACATAGTTCATTGGTTTAATACCCAGGTGCAAAAAAGAAGATTTTTAAAGAGTTTGTGCATTTTCACTATATAATCAATAGAGCACCACCCTAACACCAGAACACCCAACCCAGGGGTAAGGAAATTCACAATTTTGGAAGAGGCAGCCTTATTCAACATAACTATGTACTTGGTTAGTTTATTTAATACTCAGGAGCAAAGAAGAAGATTTTCAAAGAAAAAAAATCATTTTTTACTATATAATCTATATGGCCCCGCCCTGCCACTAGAACCCCTGACCCTGGGGTCATTAGATTCACAATTTTAGAGGAGGCAGCCTTATACAACATAACTATGCACTTGGTTAGTTTATTTAGTGCCTGCAAACAGAAAAGAATATCAAAGAATTAATGCATTTTCACTTTGTAATCTATATGGCCCCGCCCTGCCACTAAAACCCCTGACCCTTGGTTCTAGTTACCCACTCTATTTAACTCTTCACAGCTAGCGGCATTTGAATATTGTTTGTGATATGAGTAATTTCTCTCAAATTTATGAAATACTAGAAATAGTGTACATTGTATATTATATTACAGCACAGAATAGTATATACACATGTAGTTTATAGTAAAATAATGGAATGAAGAACAACTAATGTGGAGATAAAATGTCTTACAGTATGGAGAAACGATCGCTCTCCTTTGTGCAAACTATTTCACATAATGTACAATTACTTCAATTTTATCCACGGCCATTCCATCATAATATGCTTTTTCACCATGCACTATGTATTTTTTGTAGTGGGTAGTGGCCAGAGTTCCTTCCGTGTAAAGTTTCATTCAGTACTGAACATGCACAGTGACGCATATTAAGGAGCGTAAATTACTCAAAAGGAACATTGTTTTCCCGCTTTCAGTTATCCTGTTGAATTTTCATTCTTAATACGACTTGATAACCTAATATCCAATAATAGACATCGGACAAAAATCTCAGCGAGCTAACATACCAGGATTGGTTTATAATAATACGTTATGATAATACTATTATGAGTAATGAGGTTTGGTTGAAAAGCATGAAACGGATATGACCTTGTAATTGACCTCCATGATTTGAATAAAAATAATAAACAGTCATTTTCAGCCATATAAAGATTGAAAGGTATGAAATGTTAATAGTTTTGATATATATATATATATATATATATATATATATATATATATATATATATATATATATATATATATATATATATATATATATATATATATATGTAGTTTCATTTTGTAAATTAGCAAGACTTTAGTATGAAATTTTTATGCTGTAAACCTTAAGAAATAAAAAACAGCATTATTTATTCTCTTTAAAGTATAAAACATTTTTACTCCAGAAGATATTTTTCAAACATGTAAAACTACCATATGAAAAGATATTTAAGTTGAAGTTAATAACTTATCATGTTTTTAGCTCTACTGGTCAGAGACCAGAAGAGCTTATGCGATAGTAATGCGTCCGGCGTCCGTCCGTCTGTCTGTCTGTCCGTATGTCTGTAAACAATTTTTCAAAACGCTACTCCTCCTACAATTTTGGTCTGATTTCAATATAACTTGGCACACAAGTAGACTACACTAAGATACATAAAATAGTGCATCGGTTTTTGATTTCGATGAACGGTGATGTCATGGTTACTAAAAATAGAATTTTCTGAGAAATTCCTTTAAAGCAATATGAGCTGCACGTTTGACATCGGAAAATTTTGTTGCAAATTTGTAATTAACTATTTCAATGACAGAAAAATGGAACATTTATAAACTTCTGTTGTTCATTTATGCGATGGAAGAACTTTTTACAAGCTTTGATTGAAGCAAAATTGAATTATTGTCGTCCTGTACAATAATGATTTTTTTTTATATAATACTGTATATTCGGTCGTTCAGAAATGTTTCTGATGAAATATTTTTAAAATTTATTTTGGTCTTATTGATCAAAAGTGTTTATATTTAATACAAAGTTATCATAATAACACATTTTACCAGAAAAATAAAATTCTCAAAAATGCAGCTCACATTGCTTTAAAACTCTACTCCTTCTACAGTTTTGATCTGATTTCAATATTACTTGGCACACAAGTAGACTACACTAAGATACATAAAATAGTGCATCGGTTTTTGATTTTGCCATGGTTACTAAAAATAGAATTTTCTGTGAAATTCCTTTAAAACGCTACACCTTCTACAGTTTTAGTCTCGTTTCAATATCACTTAGCACACAAGTAGACTACACTAAGATACACAAAATAGTGCATCGGTTTTTGATTTCGATGAACGATGTTGCCATGGTTACTATAAATAGAATTTTCTGTGAAATTCCTTTAAAATGCTACACCTTCTACAGTTTTAGTCTCGTTTCAATATCACTTGGCACACAAGTAGACTACACTAAGATACATAAAATAGTGCATCGGTTTTTAATTTCGATGAGCAGTGTTGCAATGGTTACTAGAATAGAATTTTCTGAGAAATTCCTTTAAAACGCTACTCCTTCTACAGTTTTTGTCTGATTTCATTATCACTTGGCACACAAGTAAACTACACTAATTTACATATAACAGTGCATCGGTTTTTGATTTCAATGAACGGTGTTGCCATGTTTACTAAAAGTAGAATTTTCTGTGGAATTCCTTTAAAATGCTACTCCTTTTACAGTTTTGGTCTGATTTCAATATAACTTATCACACAAGTAGACTACACTAAGATACATAATTCTGTGCATCGGTTTTTGATCTGTACAAACCAGTAGAGCTACAGTCTCGACAGAGACTTCTGGTTAAGAATAAAATTTAAAATATTTCAATACAGTATGAACAAATTCGAATTTCGCTAAATTAATTTGGGACAACCCCCAAATCCTTAAAGATTCTTTATATAGTTGAACGTCTATCCTTATTATTACAGCTCATAAATGGAACCGTTTAGTTTTCTTACTTATATGTACCAATTGATTAAATACTATATATGTACGTAATATACAAAATATGAATTCAAGAACAGGCCGTAGCATCGTTTTTGAAAGCTGGGGGGCCAACCTGAGAATTTTTTTTTTTACTTACCTGAAAAAGTTTACAAGCAAAAAACAAAAAAAAACCCCGAAAATTAAAAGTTGCCCAAACTCGAAAATCCTATTTCGTGTGTGTGTGTGTGTGTGTGTGGGGGGGGGGGGGGGGGGGGAATTGCTACTCAACGTTGTAACGTCAAAACAACGTCAATATGAATTGTTTTCGTGCAGTGTTTAAATATGTTTTTATACTTTTAAAGAATTGCATGTAACCCCATTGAAATAATCATTAACAGTAATTTGTTGACCGAACTAGTGGCCATCTTTTTCAAAGCCAACTTACCATCACTTCCAATTTTTTCCTTACAATCCTTGCTATCACTATACTATGGTTGTAAAGTGGGGGGCCAACCATCCTATCAATGAACATTTACTATAGTAAAGGTTATGTTGGGGAAAAAAGTGGGGGGGGGGCAGGCCCCCCCTGGCCCCGCCGGATGCTACGTCCCTGATGAGCACAAAGATAAATTTGATGAGTAGTTAAGCTCTTAAGCCTGATTTTGCACTTGAATTATTGAAGTTGTTCATAACTGTGTTCACAATTACTAACGTTTGGAGAGAAAAATGTTCATGTCCACAGAGACTATTTAAAGCTATGTACTATTCAGAGATGATAAGTGACAGGACTTCACTTTTTTTCAAAAGGTTAATGAAAAAAGTTTGATGGCATTTTAAATATTACTGAACAAATTAGAGTAAACTGTTTTTGAGTGGTTATTAAACAAATTGTAAGTATTTTAAAATCGCTCTGAACAGGCGAATCGGGTTCTATATCAACACTGAATTTATATGTACCATACGCCATATAACTACAGTATTTAAATAACTGTCGATATAAAATAAATGTACTTTTTCAAGAATTTGAAAAAATTATTTAATCAAGTGTAGCTTAATTTGTCATTACTCAGCAAGAGCATAAAGCTTTGGCTTAAAATACATAATAAATTGCATTACGTTCTGTATTTTTTTTTTGCCAATTCAAGCATAAAAGCATCGTTATAAACATTCGATAGATGTTAAATTTGATTGTGATTATTATATTTATAAATAAACATCATACAGAACTTAAATGTCAATAGAACGATAGAAGGCATTTCTATTTAGTTCTCTTGTCTTATACTTAAAAAATTAATTTAATGTTGCTTTGGTATAAAATACATAATACATAAGTTCATTATGCACTGTCCATGTGTGAAAATATTCTCCCTTAAATTCTTATGACTTTAGCTTGGACACTACAGGTGTATAAAGAGGCAACCTTACCTTATCTCAACATTGGCATAAAATAACGACGACGATTATCATTTATTGAAGTTTCAGATAGAAATAATACTTAAAATTACCTGTTTGTTATATTGAACTTTGGTCTATTTTCAAACTATGTAACAATCATATTATATGTGAACTCTTTTTAAAATATAGATAAAAGTTCGCTTGATCATGGACAACGACTACGAATTTGTTCAACTGTCCATGAATGCAATTGAAGGTAAATCAGAAATGGTCCTGAACTATGCAGACATTCAGTTCAAAACTACTGCTCAGGATCCACTATTCAACACAAAGCTGAGTGCTTCGCAGGACCAGCATTCCGACGACGAATCTGTGATTTATAGTGAAATGCAAGGCAGCGACGTATATGTAAACGTGTTAGCTCAAAACACATCAGGTTATGATTCATTTGACGATACTTCAACAGATTACGAGGATGTTCCTGATGAGATAGCACCAACAATTCCGCATTTAGGAAGTAAGGTGATTGAGGAAAATATAAAAGTAAGTGCTAAAGAGGAGAAAGGCGCCTATGGCGAATACTGTCATTTAGATCCTTATAAAAAAATTCCAGTTCTTTTAGCCAAACAAAAAACTGCAGTTAAACAGAAGAAAAAGACTGAAAAGTTGACGTGTACCGACATAACAACACTTGAAGATGGAAGGATGGTGGTAGTTACAGATAATGGTAAAATCATTGTTCTAAGTTCTAAAGGAATGTATTTGTTTATGGAGACGTTTGATGGGGAATTTGCGAATTGTACTGCTGTGGACAAGGATGAGATAGTTGCGGCATGTGGTTATCGAGTCCGATTTTTCTCTGTACACGAAACGGAGATAAAAGAGGAAGAAGAAAAATGCATCGATTTTCAATACGACTGGACAACAGTGCATGGAATATCATACAGTAATAACAAACTTTTGATGTCCTGTAACTTACAAAGTGTAGCCTCCACACAACCACCAACAATTAAATTATATGATATGAAGAGAAAACAATCAAAAACCATTCACACACTACCATTTACCTCTCCTGGTAAAGTTCTTTTAACTCCACACTTAAAGAAGTTTTTTGTAGCAGATCAAGACAAAAAGACAGTAACTTGTGTAGATGACCATGGTAAATTAATATGGGAGGCCAAGGACATCAACACGCCTATATCGTTCACTATAGCGGATGAGATACTCGCTGTGGCATTCAAAGAGCGTCAGGAAATAACGTGTTTTTCTGCAATGAACGGAACTATACTAAGAACGATCAAAATGGATGTTAGCATACATATACCAGCAAAAAGATTTGTGCTAACCAACAATATCAAGGAAATAATTATTTGTCCTTCTGATCGTTTTGTGGAAGAAAAAATTAGTTTTGTTTTCTTTGCGCCCATCAAGCATACTAGAAAGCAACATCTGAAGAAAAAAATTTCCAGTATGAAACTTCTTCCAAAAATGTTTCGCAAATGACATGAATAATACATTTTTCTTTAGTACAAAGTGCAGTAAACGCGGAAGTGATAACTTAATGAGAATAGATAAAACGCAAGTGGATAGAAAATAGACAATCCCAAATACGTTTCCTTGTTTTGTATTTACACTTTATAAAGTCATGTACTTCATTCATTGGGTGTACTGTGGCATTTCACAATAAGTGTCTTATGTAATCAAATAACAAACTCTTTACTAAATGTGCATAGACGCATATTTGAAGTTAATATTTTCTGTATAATATCACGACTTATATATTGCAATAGCATTTCACACGAAGATATACATGTATTATATCCAAATTTTATTTTATATTTCATTAAAATCTCTTCGATTTTATATAAAAATCCCACAAAGATTGAAAATATTTGCTTATGAAAAAGCATACATACACTATAAAGAACAAAAACGATATCATTTTCTCATACTTTAACAATTTTTTTTAATATGGGTGGTTCTTCGCTCTATTTTTTGAAAGATAATCCTAAAAGTTTGCAATAAAATATACATTTTTTGATTTACATAAACATGGCGCGAAGACCCACTATACCTTAAAAGTACACTTTTATGGCAAAACATTCGCAACTTTCCGAGAAATACTTCAAGTCCATTAAGTCAAGGGTCATATCACAAACATGATTTAAATACCCACAATCATCAAGAGCCGTGTAGCATAATAGTAAGCGCGATAGTCTTAAAACAGTGAGAAATTTCGGATTTTTATTGCTAGGGTTCGAATACCACGAATACGGTCTGATATTTTTATACAAGAAAAAAATTATCCAGAGATTTTTTTTCTCTCGGAAAAACGTTTTTTTTTTTTTTGGTTATAATTTCATAAATTTAAACAATGATAAATTTATTTAAATACTTAATTCACTAATAATATGATTTCATAATATTTGACACTATAGACATTCTGCCTGCCTTATCCCCAATCTTCTTTGTGAACGTGAAAGGACGTATCAATCAAACCCGTCAAGAAATTTGTAGTGTCAATAACTTTTATATAAAATAAGATTTTTAATATATTTTTCGTGGGAAATGCTATTTCAATATATAAGTCGTTGTATTATACAAAAAACTTGAAAAAACTGCAAATCTGTGTCTATGCACCTTTAAGAGCAATCTAATAAAGCGTCCAGTTAAGAACATTTTTCTCATGGGAAGGTAGTTTTCCACTATACATGTACGACTTATTTTACTTTAAGTATTAGTTATACACATGAACATTTAAAAAATAAATTGATTGATTGTATGCTGTTTAACGTCCCTTTCCAAAATATTTCACTGATATGGAGACGTCACCATTGCCGGTGAAGGGCTGCAAATTTGGGCCTATGCTCGGCACTTAAGGCCTTTGAGCAGGGAGGGATCTTTATCGTGCCACACCTGCTGTGACACGGGGCCTCGGTTTATACGGTCTCATCCGAAGGACCGCCCCATTTAGTCGCCTTTTACGACAAGCAAGGTGGTACTGAGGACCTATTCTAACCCGGATCCCCACGGGGGAAAACATTAATTAAAGTTTGTTTTAGAGAGATAAACCCCAACTAAATACTTCCTAACAAGATAATTTCGAGTCATTTCATTTAAAATTAACACAATTCACAAGGAAAATCACAACTTTTAGTAGCACATTTCTTTGAAGTAAATTTATTAATATCCTTCGAGCTAACTAAAATTAGATCTTCCATACGCTCCCTTATTTTTTCCTATACATAAAGAAAAAACAGGGAGAGGATGAAAATCTTAATCTAATTGGAATGATTATTCATTTAAAATTTGGTTTCTTTGTTCGAAACGGCAAATCAATTAAATATTTATATTGACTCTGTGCCGGATAAACAATAAGATATTGTATTGAAATTGGCAAAAGACAATTATAGTGTGTACATACATATACATGTATATCGGTACATGTAAAGACAAAAATGTTTTGACATTCAGATTATGCAAGCAATTGAGAATTCGGGAATTTTGAAAGGGGAGGGGCAATTTGGGGTTGGGGTAGGGGCAGATAGCCACAACGATAATTGATTTATTTAAGCAATAAACTACAATGTCAAAAAGTTCTCTGGGGGATGAACTTAGTTGGCCACGTGATCAAATCGTGTGAAGCCCGAAGAGCTTTTTTAAAAGGCGAAATAATAATGAAGCTTGTGATGACGTATATTGCTTCAAAGTCACCTGAAAAAGTTTCAGAATACAAAAAAAAAATGTTTTATTTTTCAGATAAAATATAATGTTCATTAGTAATAAAAAAATAAAGTAAAAGTTTTCCCAGCTGTGTTATTTAACTTAATTACAAAATCTAAGGAAGAAATATATTTTAAAAATAAATGAAATAAAAAAAATGTTATATCAACATATTTTAGTTTATTTAGATGGAAATAATTTCCAATAATATAATGTAAATCTCTTCTTCTTATCCCTGATTGGTTGCTCGTGCAACAGACTATTTCCGTGTCAATGTTGATAATATGAGTTGACCAATCACGTGAATTGTTTACGTTGGATGCATCTGACGAAAAAGATCGTGACGTAACGCAAAACTTCACACTCAACAAAATAATATTTACAAAATATATAAAGTTTACCTGTCACAGGTGCCAAAATCGTAAAAAAAAAAAGACTGGAAGGAAATTTTAAAAGGCAATAAAAATATATGAATTTTAAAATAATATTATAAATTTTTTTGAAAATTTAAGATGATTTTGAGAAAAGTCATCATGAATTGACACTTTGATGGAGGCTCAGGGCAGCATATCCTTCTTTAGCACCATCATCAGCAAGCTAAATCATAACAGAATGTCCACACACGTTTGTATAATTTAAAAAGCACTGCTTAGCAGGATAAATATTTAAAAAATACAAACAAAAAATAGCTATTATGAAATATATGAAGATATCAACTAAATTGAGGATTAGTCCACGCAAGTCAAAGTAAATTTGGAGATGAAACCTGAATTTGATATTGTTGTATTTACGTTATATGGGATGATTCATATAATGTAATTTGCGATGTTAAGCCCTGGATGTGAATCGAACCCACATACTGAAGTATGAAGTATGAACACATTAAAGTATTAAGAGCTTTCAAATCAAGTTTACTCATAGTATTTGTCCATCTAATGAAATGGGACAAGAGAAAAGAAAATGTGCAAACACTTTCCTAGATGACATGATGCCCAAGATTGATTTCGTGGATATATTCATAATATGAAAAAAAGAATTTAAATAATATATACTCAACAAAAAAAGAATCGCATATTGTTGAACTCATCAAGGAAATTTTGAAAATGTATAGGGAACAACTATCTTTTTTTTCATTGCATACCTGTGACCTATTTAAAGTACATCATGGGCTTTTAAACCCCAATTGTTGATTTATTTCCCTTGATTAATCATGTATATGAAAATAGTGTATTGCATGATTTCTTGAAAATCAGGGGTCTACTTTCAATGAAATTTTTGATTTAAAGAAATAATCAAGAATCCTATTAAACCAATATTTTTGCTTTGATTGCAATGTTGATGCTGAAATACCACGCCTAAATAAAGATGAACGCAACAAGGCTCTAACAATGATACTAACCGTAGCTATGCAACAGGACGTTGCCACTGCATTTGGTGTTCATCAATCGGTTTTTCAGCAGTTCAACACACGTCTCCACCAGCTAAGGAACTGGCCGCCAGCGGGTTACCACACCCAAACAGGACCGTCAGATCCTCATTCAGCACCTGCGCAATTGACTCAGAATTGCTGTACAAACTGCTGAAATCAACGTAAAATGCACAAATTGTTCACAAAAGACTGAGAGGAGCTGGTATTCGTGCACGACGTCCGTACATTAGAAATCCACTAGTGCTGAGAGATCGCAAAGGACATATGGATTTGTTAAGAAGTATGCCTCTAGAATTTGGAGGCGACGTCAACAACTTAACAACTTAACTTGTCAATTTGGAACATAGGAGAAGTTTACTTTTTATCACAACACACTCTAAAATCACTTTAAAGATTAAGGTTTAAACTGTAAACTTAGATTGCCATGTTTAACCTGATTATGCGTTTCTTGTTTTGTTGAGTATAGATTGATCAGACATGTAATAAATTAGCAACTCCCTGTTTCATTAAACAGTTGAAGGGTATATGTTGAAATTTTAGCTCCATCTTTGCTCATTTGTAATGTTGGTTGCGGACTGTATCTTGAAGTACATGTAGCTGGAAAAACTTTTCAGTAAACTGTATGACTCTACAAATGTAAAATATGTAATTTTAATTTTATTCTATTTGTTGATATTTTATAATAATTTAAAGAGGCCTACCCTAGCTGTATGAAAACGAATTTTATATAACGTTAGGTCCACTCATATATGTACTGATAAATCATGATGACATGTTGAGCTCGTTAATTTCTATTAAACAAAACACAAAATATCAATACACAACTTATCACACGATTTTGAGACAACTGTACCGTAGATGGTTTCCTTAATGTAGTCATCCTGTCTACAGTGTTGGCTACAGACGGCCCCACATGATAAAGGTTGCCACAACCTTTCCGGCTTCTGGTTACGCTTGATAGCAATAATCCACTGTTAACGGAGGACATCGTCTCTTGGAAAACAATGGAGTCCCCTATTGACATACCCTGGCGCACAACAACACGACGAGGGCATTATAAAATTCTCATATCGCTGGTAAAATGTAGAAAAATATTGCTTTCTATGTACAGTGTATATTTACAGTGGTGATGGAGAACTGCAACAATGAATACGTCCCCTACATCCGAGAAAAGGGAGATACATATATGTAACTATAAAAATAATATTTATTAATATTAAAGCATTCCAGGAGCCTAGGGGGTCAACAAATTATTTTTTTATTAATCACCAATCAAACATTTTGATAATATTGCATGAGCAATACATGTCTCCTACCTGGTTTCCCTTTGTCTTCATCATGTCATTTTATAACATGCAAAAGTTATGACCAAGGTAAAACTGTTTGATTTTGAGGTTGTGAGTGCCTTTAACCTAATAAAGTAATGCACAATAAAGACTGATTGATAATATGTTTAACGTCCCTCTCAAGAAATTTTCACTCATGTAGAGACGCCACCACTTGCCGGTGGAGAGCTGCAAATTTTGTCGTATACTCGGTACTGGGGCAATCGAGCAGGGATGTATCTTTTTCGTGCCAACACCTACTGCGACACGGGACATCGGTTTATACGTCTCATCCAAAGGACCGGTCCCCGCGTCCCAGAGTGGGATTCGAACCTGCGACGTAAGGATTAACTCCTTACTTCGCGACTCTAGAGCAAACGCTCTAACCACTGCGCCTCGCGGGCAACTGCATAAGAAAGACGAAAATTCACTCTCATTTTTTCAATGTCTTTTTCTCGCTTCAGCTTCATATTTACCATGTTGCCCATTGGAATTTAGCGCAGCACGAACCCGAGCTTAAATCATTATCAAAAATTAAAAATGCCATAATTCTGTTCAAAATCAATGAAGCAGAATGACATTCAAACTTGATCTGTAACACATCAAGACACACTAGCATACCAAAATGCAGCTCAATATCTGCAAGCGTTTTAAAAAAAAAAGTGCGGAAAACCAAGAAGGACAGACTGACAGACAGACGCAGAAGAAACCTTTCGTCCCCTCCGGGTTCACCTGTAGGGGACGTATCAAAATTAGATAATAGATCCGCTCGCATACTCGCTACACTAATATCTTACAATATCCATAGAGGGTCACGTCAGAGGTCAAATTCAGAACAGCAGTACTAGATTTATTCTTTTCAACAATATACGATGATTTTGCAGGCCACGATTTGATTGGTTGAAAGAATTTGACCTCTGACGTGACCCTCAACGGGATGTTGTTAGTTAGATGTTAGTGTAGCGAGTATGCGAATGAATCTAACATCTAATTTTAATTAGATTGATTAACCACCAGATATAACTTAAATTATGAGATATGATGTCTGAAGCAGTCAACTATCATTTGGCAAAGAAAAATTTCATAAATTTGATAATTTTATTATATCTTTATCTGGAGCTCTTCTTCTAAAAGAGATCAAAATAGTCTCAAAATGGCCACAACCACCAAGCCCCTTTAACACTGTAAATCCATTTGTCTAATGAACTAGTTACTTTGTGATATTTTTTTGGGGGGGGGAAAGTTTGTTCCCTATTTGTATATTACTGCAACTAGAGTTTGATTCTACAGTG